CCCCAGGGGGGAGAGGGGGGCGTGGGGAGCTCAGCGGGGGCGGGGTTACGGGGTGGGAGGAGGGTCGGGGGTGCTGCGGAGGCGGGGTTACGGGGTACGGGTAGAGGCGTGGGGACCGCAGCGGGGGCCTGGGAGGGAACGGGGTGCGGAAGTGGGGGTGGGAGCGCGGCGGGGGCGGAGCCAGGAGGCAGTAAGGCGGGCGGGGGCGGGGCGGCCGGGAGGGGCTCTGGGCCTATCCGGATCGGGCGGGGCTTGGGCCGTAGATCCCGCCCCACGCCAGCGCCGCGGAGGCGCAAGGGAGGGGTATCACCACGCCCCCCCCCCCCCCCAGTTTCCAAGGCAACCGGGTTCAACAGTTTCGGTGCTGCCGGCGTCTGGAGGCCCCCGGGCGCCCACCGGTCGGCATGTGCGCCGCGGAGGTGGACCATCAAGTTGCCCAAAGATACCTGCTCAAGCGGCGGCTGGGGAAGGGGGTGAGCCCGGCACCTGCAGGGAGGGGGAAGGTCCAGTCGGAGGTCTGCTCCCTCCGACGCGGCCAGGGATCCCTGGGCTGACGTCCTGTTTCCTCCGTGGACTGGAGGGTGGCTTGGGCAAGCCACCGAGCCCCTCGGGCCTCAGTTTCCTGTAGGGGGGCTCTAACAGCGCCCACTGCAAGTAACCTGTCGCCTGGCTCTAGGTTCACAGCGGCCTCAGGTCAGAGGGATGGTGGACAAACCCTTTCCCCCGCCCACGTCCCCTGCTCCCAGCTGCCTCTCCTGGGGCCCATAGAACACTAAGGAGGCCGGGCCCACCCACTCCAGTCACTAAAGGCGATGGGTGGGTCCCAAGCCTGGCCCAGGAAGGGCCTGAGCGGGTAAATGGGCACGGAGTGAACCGCATGTGAGCGATTGTGCGTTTGTGTGTGGCAGCATGTGGGATTGTGTACAAGAGTGTTTGTGAAGGTGTGTGACTGGGTGGGTGGTATTGGGGAGAAGAGAAAGCACGGTCCAAACAGCACAGACAGCAGGTGCAAAGGCCCTGAGGTAAGAACCTGCTGGCTGTGGGGAAACAGCAGAGTTGATGTGAACTGGTTAAGAGTAACTACGGGAGGGCTGGGATCACCTGTGGCTTTGGGGAACTGCAGAGATTTCTGGGCATGACACGGAGTGGTAGCAGACATTGGTGCCGCTTTACAAGGCTCACGCTGCCTGCTGTGTAGAGGACAGACTGTAGTGTGGGCTAGGGAGGCCAGTTAAGAGGTTAGTGTAGCGATCCAGACAAGAGATGGGGGAGAGGCAAGAGTCCCGGGTGGGGGAGCAAGAGGTCAGATTCGGATGAAGTTTGGAGGTGGAGCGGACAGGATTTGCTGATAGGCTGGATGCAGGGTGTGAAAGAGGGGAGAGGTGCCCAGAACAGGCTTTGGCTTCCACCCTGAGTCTCCCTTTTGTAACCTTATTTCTTCCTGGAGCCTAGTTTCTCATCACCATCTTCTGGAAAAACGGGGGGGGGGGGGGGGCTGCTGCAGCAGCCTTAGCAGCCCGCAGCTGTGGGGACCTTGCCCGGAGCCATAGGCCCTCACCACACCCTCACTCCCTCCCGGGAGCCTCAGGCAGCCTGCTGGGCAGGGGAGGGCTGGACAGGAGGCTGGCCCCGTGCCCAGCCAGCTGACCACCGTCCTCGCAGGCCTACGGCATTGTGTGGAAGGCAGTGGATAGGAGGACTGGCGAAGTCGTGGCCATCAAGAAAATCTTCGATGCCTTTAGGGATAAGACGGACGCCCAGGTGAGTGGAGAGGAGGCGTGAGGACAAGGGCAGGGGTGTGGGGGGGGGGAACCCCTTCTGCCTTGGTGCCTGGAAGCTCCAATGTATTTCTGAAGCCGATTCACAGCAGGTCTCTATAATTGCTCAGACATGACCTGAACCTGTGGTCCAGCAGGTGTGGGTGACGTCTGTCAATCCCTGTGGATCCTTTCGAGAAATGAGCTTCCGGGGAGCCTGGGTGGCTCAGATAGTTAAGCGTCTGACTCGTGATTCCCGCTCTGGTCATGATCTCACGGTTTGTGAGACTGAGCCCAGCATAGGGCTCTGCTAGCCTTGGGGACTGCTTACGATTGTCTTCCTCTGCATCTCTCCTGCTCACACAGGTGCTCTCTTTTTCTGTCTTTCCAAAAAAAAAAAAAAAAAAAGGAGGCGGGCTTCCTTCTCGCCCCATACTTATGCTCAAATTTCTGTCTCATTCCAGAGAACATTCCGGGAAATCATGCTGCTCCAGGTGAGCAGCCCAGGCCACCTGGCAGCCCCTCCAGGTGCAGGTTCTCCCAGCAAGGTGGGGGGGGAAACCCAGATCTGCGTCCCCCCCAAAGCACACAGCCCCT